ATTCTGGGATACCTGGCTGCCTCAAGTTCACACAAGTCACCTCTGGATGCATCCTTGATAAAAGGGGCGGAGCAAGAACACATCCTTGATTTGAACTGTACTTGGCTAGATGTGAACTTTGAATTGGAACAGTACTTGGGCGACGACTGATGACGTTTCACAAGTCCACAAGAACACAAGTACAGACAAGAACGCATATTGAGAAACGGCTCTAGCTTTTCCAGTTTCCCAGGAAGAATACAACAAATTACAATTAACGAATACTGACACCTGCTGGTATGGAGAGTTATTTACTCTCACACTGTTGGCTGTAGTCTTTGCATTGTGTTCAAGTGCAGACTTTTGGCCCAGATGCAGGTGGCGTGAGGCGACACCACAGTCAGCTTTGGTCGCCACTAGCTCTTTGATGTCTGTCTGGTGTGTCTGGGCCTTAACGTATCATGTTTAGGCCAAAATCAGGCCACAGTTCACGTATCCTTTGAGACGAATGCAATCCTAGAATGCATGGCAATTTGACTAAGGATGACTATTAATACTATTTTGAATTTTTTTTTTTTATAATTCTAATACTTGTGCATTCTATTTATGCTTATGCTTAGTGTAGAACTGTGATATTAGCTTGGCAACATGCTATTTTCAAACACTATTGTAATAAATTTTAAAGAATCTGTGCGTTTCTGTTAGGTCTGCATGATTAATCGAAATAAAAACAAAATCGCAATATGGCTTAGTGGGGTTATTAAATCACAAAGGCTGTGATTTAATTAAATAAATGAGCTGTGGTTTTCAGAATGAAGCGTGGCACAGTGTACATTCACATGCAAGAAGCTCATGAAAATAGTAATATTAATAATTTTGTTTAATATTATTTAGTAGTAGCAGTATTAATAATATTGTTAATTAGTAGTAGTAATATTATTTATATATATATATAATGTAATAGTAATATAAAATATAATGGATATATTTTATTACTAAATAAAATATACTATTTAGTAATATTATTATTATTCCTAAATATAATTTACTAAGTTACTAAACCTAACTAAATATATAATATATAACATAATATTTGGTAATATTATTTAAGAAATGTATTTAGTAGTAGTAGTAATAATAATAATAATAATAATAATTATTATTATTATTATTAGGTTAGGGTTATTATTTATACATATTGGTATATCCTGTGAATGTTGATGCTTTAATAACAAATATTTATCGGTAGCGTGTATGCTGGAATTTCATAAATTTCATGGAGAAAAAAGGTAACTAGTAATGTAACTAATTACTAATTACTTTTGAAATAAAGTAATCAGAACAGTAACGTGATTACTTTTAAAAGGAGTAATCAGTAATTTGATTACATTTTCAGAGTAACTTGCCCAACACTGATCATTATAATATTTTGGCCAAATTGTGCAGCAAACCTGGACTCTCCAAAACTCAATATTTTTTATTTTACAGTGAAATATTACAAAATTACTAATTTTAATATTTTTATTTCATAGTAACAATAACAATAATAATAATATTAATTATTATTACTAATATTAATAAGTTAAGGTTATTTTATAATCATAGTGGAATATAATCAATATTTTTGGCCACATTGTGCAGCAAACTTAGACTCTATATTTTTTATTTTACAGGGATTTTTTTTAATATAGTAATAGAAATAGTAGCAGCAATAATAATAATTATAATTATTATTAATAATTATAAAAACAAAACAGAGAAGCAAACCATTTTAAAATCGCAATTGCAATTTTATAGGAAAAATCACAATTAGATTTTTCCCCAAATTGCACAATCCTAGTTCCTTGTGAGAAGTGCAATGGAACCCAAAGATTGCTGTCTGTGTCCCGACTACCTCACAACCAGTCAGTTATGAGGTTTCATTCTGGTCAGGATGCTACCTATGTAGGAAGCTCACTAGGTTTTGGATCTGAAGATGGATCTGCAGGTCTCACCGGTGTTCCAGGGTGCTGTTGGGCAGGGAGGGGCAGCTCCGTCTGGGGCTGCATGTGAGGTGGGGTGCCCTGAGCAGGGGCGGGGGTGGGTGTGTAGGCCTGACTGGGCTGCAGTGCTGCTGGCAGGTTAGTGGTGCTGGCGGTGGCGTTGGGGGGCGGTGTGGCGCGGAGTGGAGCCTGAGTGGGTGCGGGGCAGCCTAGCGGGGGGCCCAAGGGGTCAAGTGCATTCAGGGAGAGGTTAGCATTCGGCTGCTGCTGGGGAAGGAGAGATCGCACGCACACAAGCAGGGACAAAACAAGTTTAGTGGGAACGTCGTTGTGCGGAACGGGGTCACTCTAGGATGTGAGTGCATGTGCACACCTGTGAAACGGCCGCCTGCGTATTGGGCTGGCCCATGTTGACATTCATGGCGTTGGTGTTGGTGGGGAACTGCGGTTGAGCCATGAACTGCGTCTGGTTGGCCGTCTGTGCCACCATTTTCCCGCCGTGAGCTCCCAGCATGCTTTGTGTGGGGGGCATTCGCGTGGGAGACATATTCATCTGTGAAAATATGACGAGAATGATACAATGCGATATGTGTCCAGAGAGCTGAAATGAGAGGGATCCAGACATGAAGACTGACCGTCGGGACTTGGTTCATATTGATCTGTTGATGGTTTATCGGAGAAGCGGCACGTGTTGCCATGGGAGCCTGAGACATCGGCACATTGGGCATTGCGCCGAATGGATTCAACCCTGTTGGAAAAAACAACAGAAAAGATTGATAACGCAGAGATATTTGTTTCGAGTACAGAGAACAAATGCATCTCCAACTGTTATTGGCTACAAATGGGACTGAAGTACCTTGAGACACCTGCATGCGATTGATGATCTGATTTGGCACATTGGGCAAAGGCACGGGTCCATCTGAAAAGAGGGAAGAGACTAAATGAGATCAGAAACTGGCAAAGTTTGTGCATTTGTGTGTTTATGTCTGTCGATTTAACACTTTAATTTGGTGCGATTAGTTATGGAGTTAATTTTTAACATAGCTCATCACGGCCCAGACTGGTGTCATTTTACATTGCGTGCAGCTGCTGACAAACATGATGCTGGACGACTGATGACTGAGCGATGTAGCCTATTAGAATCCAGTTATATGCCCCCATAATTCAAAATTCAAGATATGAAAATGCCCCATATAAGTTTTTGTCTTATATTTATATCATATGATATAGTTTAGCAATATCACATAAGCAAGAGTGCTGTTTTTTCCTGAATATCTGGACGACTGCAAATGTGATATTGATTTTATACAACAGTTCAATAAACAAGAAGTTAATATTGTGTTTTAGACACAGTATTGTCAGTTTTTGATCAAATTCGGCAACAAAAATAGTTCCAAACAAATCCACAGCAGAACAACCTTTCCGAGCAAAACACAGCAATGTTTTGTTACTGAATGAATCAGCAGTTTTCAATGAATAAAGTGAGTCAATTATTCAGTGACTCGTTCATAAAGACAGTCACTTGCTTTGTTTCTGAATGAATTAGCCATTTTGACAAATTGGTTAAATGAATGATTCAATGATTCACTCATTAAGACTTCGCCACCCCTTACTGGTGGTTTTAGTTTAATATTCAGAGTATCATTTTTACAATTTTCAATATTTGTTAAAAAAAAAAAAAAAAACCTTAATGCCCATTTAAAACCCATTAAATCTCATAGTATTATTTATGCAATTCTAATTGCAGTGTAAATGCATTCATGCCACCTCTGGACAGTCAGAAATGCACTTCAGATGCAGCTTCTGAAAACAATGTTATGGCCACATTGTAGCCTTAAAAGGTTGTGTGTAATAAATTTGATCTTAAATAATAATTAGCTTTTGTGGGTAATTTCTCAGCCCAAATTGATGTGCAATTAATTTGATAAATTAACTGGCATATCGTGCAATTAGATCAAAATTTTAATCACATAACAGCCCTAGTTTTTAAATGACTTACTCTGTGGCCGAGGTCCCATGACATTAGGCTGGTTGAGGGCCGGTGGCTGTTGTCCCGCTGCAGTCATGGGCGTCTGGTTGATAATCTGCTTTTGTAATCGGGATCTTCTCTTCTCCTCCAGCTCCTTCTGGATCTTATAGATCTTCTCTGCCAGAAAGTGATAGTACTCGTCCTATACAACATGCACAGACAACAGTGTTAAAATCAACATAATCGAAACTTAAGAATTTCACTTTATCAGCCTTTCGGTTGAGGTGTAACCCTGACCGAGGGTTTGTGCTCACCCTACTATTGGCCGACTCGTACATATCCCCTTCCACTTTTCGTGCATATGCCACCAGGTTCTCCATGCGACGGTCCTTCAGGGCGGCAGGGTCTGGCGTAGGGAAGATGGCCTGAACCCTAAACAAACACAGAGAGCAAAACCCCTTCACTCAAAGCGATCTTTTCATTTTATTTAATGCAGTTTTTTTACTTTCTATTCATGAAAGACTCCTGGAAAAATGATTTCCACAAAAAAAAAAAAAAACATTAAGCAGCTCAAATGTTATTACAATTGTTATATTACAATATAAAAGGGTTATTTTAAACTATAATAATTTTTTTCACAATATTACTGTTTTTAGTATATTTTTGATCAAATAAATGCAGTCTTGCTGAGCATAACAATTTAAAAACATGTATAAAATATATATAGTTTAAGAGCAGCGTTTACTAACAGTTTGTGTACAAGGTGGTTGCGCAGGTCCTGAGTGACGTGCTCGTGCCAGGCTTTCCTCACACCGGTGGCTGACAGAGGGGCCGCTGTGGGCAGGTTACTCATGCTGCCTACCGTAAGGCCATCCGGCATCAGCTGACTGCGTAAAGAGAATCAGGAGATATTTAGTAAGCAAACAGCATTAAGACATCAATTTTAAGCAATTAATAGCTGGGAGTGTGTTTTGATTGGTGTGTGTCCGAGTCATACTTGTTAGGGTTAAGGGTTGACGGCATGGTGCCATCTGAGAGCAGCTTAGCCTGTTCTGATGTCGGTACGCCGATTGGGTTCATCTGACCTCCCCCTGGACAAAAATAAATAAATAAATAAATAAATAAAAATACATAAATAAAATAAAACTCATACTCCATAAATAATATGTAATAGATTAGATTTTGATAATAATACATTATATTTTCGTGGAATTTATATATATATATATATATATATATATACACTGTATATCAGGGTTATTATATATTTAACTACTACTAACTAATACTAATAATAAAATACTGAAACTAAAACCATAAAAAAAAACTAAAACCATAAAAAAATAATAACTTGAAATATAACACGTTAACTGAAATAAAATATTAAAACATTTCAGCTAGTTGCCAAGGCAACATTTCTCATTTTAATTTAGTCTAACCTGATGCACTAAAATAACTAAAACTAAAATTAAAATTATTAGAAACTATGTAGACAAATATTTTTACAAAACCCAATAAAATTAATAAAACTTTAACTTTGAAAAATTTTTTATAAAATAAAAACTGATTCAATATTAATAAAAAACTATAATAGTATACTATAATAATACAATAGTATTTATAATAGTATATATATATATATATATATATATAAACAACTAATAAATAGAAATACATAAAACCCATACTCCCTAAATAATATTTAATGTTATTTTTCTGTACATCTATATATATATATATATATATACACACACACACAATATTTATAACAATAAACATTTAAGTAATAAGAAATAAAAACATATAAATAAACATGTAAAAATATGTAACTCGTATTCCCTAAATAAAAGTAATATATGATAGATTTTCAGATAACTTATATGAACAATATAAAAATAAACAATTTCTAATAATAAATACAAATGCATAAACTAATACTCATAAGCTCATAAAATTTAATTTGTATATATAACATACACATTATTTTTGGTATTATTAATATAATATATTTTCCTACAATAAAATACTAGTTTACCGAGCGTGTTGATGGATCTCATTTGCGGCGTCTGCGCAGTCATCTGCCCGGGGCCCTGCGTCTGTGTGGGGGTCTGGTTGCTGTAGGGGAGGCCGAGGGCAGCGTACGCCCGCTGCATGGAGCTGGGGTCGATGGGCGTGGAGCTGGGCAGAGCGGGCGCCGTCTGCTGCCCCGTACCGACCGTCCCGATAGGGCTCTGCAGACCAGCGTTGGGGGGACTCAGCATTGCTGTAACACAGGAAAGAGATGCTGTAATACGACATCTGTGTATTTCAAACCAAGCTCTGCATGAGATTTCACGTCTGATTCTGCTTAAACACTTGGCAGAATCTGTCCGTCAAAACAGAGGAGCGCAAAAAAAAAAAAAGTTAAAACCCTGCCAAATAGCCATCTGGAAGAAAACATTACTCATCTGAACATAGTGGAAAAAAACGGGGGAAGTAGAAAGGAAAGTGGAGGGGGTCCGAGACGCCAATTGCATCGGGAAGAAATATCGCAGCGGCGACTCTGCGCAAAAACAAACACTTTAGCTGCCTCGCGCTCTCAGAGTCATGATGAGAGACGCCTGGCAGAGGGAGAGGCGCTTTGCAGGTTTGCTGGAGCTGTAACAGTGTGAGATTTTAATGAGTCACCGCTCAGCCGGCGGGGCGGCACGACTCTCCTCATCCACACCACCTCTACCCCCCGCAGCAAACACACACGGCCCGTCTGAAACATTCACACATTCACAGTAGGCTTGCCGCGATAGACGGTGTTGACGGTTATACCGGTGTTAAGCCGCAACACCGGTTACGTCACTTGCCCACCGCCTCACCGACCCCCACCATCGTTTTGATTTTTTATAGTAATAAAAATAATTCAGGGCTGCCAACTCTCACGCATTCAGCGTGAGACTCACGCAATTGACACTATTCTCACGCTCTCACGCACACATCCATTTTCTCATGCAGAAAAATGTCCCTTCCAAATTCAATATTTATTTATGATAAAATTTTTTTAAAAAAAACACTAGACAGCGCTCGTCAATGTCAGAATGATTTAAATGGGCAATCAAATCAAAGAAGGGCAGGGCTTTACTGTTGTGAAGTAAGTAGGTAAACATTTATTATTTGACAGCTGTTTTACAACAGAAATGTTAAATAACCAACAGTAATATTCTGTGATACAAACTCCACAACCGTTTTGATCATTTACGTGATTCACGTAATTCGTAACCGAATGTGGCAAGGAACATTTTGTTGTTTTGCTTTTACAACATTTGCACAAATTAACTCCTAATTGTATGTGTATTTTAAAATAAAATATTATTTGTGAATATTTAAACGGATTACGAAAAATTCTTTCCATTTTTCTCATCTTTTTTAAAGATGTTAAGCCTTGTCACACGCTATGCGTGTCCGTCGTTTAGGTTAGTAACTAATATGCTGTATGCCCTAGATAGAAATAAGTTAGCATTATCAAAGTTATTTGTTTTGCAGTATTGCAGTAATTATACATATGTTGTCAGTAAACCTGTTTCATTGTAATGTTTTGACAAATCACAATACACTTCCTGTGATGCAAGGTTTTTTTTTGTTTGTGTGGTGTTTTTTTTTCTATTTTTTTATTTAAAAAAAAACAAAAAACTTTTTTGAAAGCCCTGATAATTTAGTTCAGTAAAAGAACAGACACGCTAAAGTGAGTTTGACGTTGTATTTTGTTGTTGCATTCAAGCAATTGACGCTGAACTGCCATTAATTCAAAAGTGAAAGTAAAATGTGCACGGCGCATTTAAGCTATTTAAAAGCGAAGGAAAGCGAGGAAAAGAGGGAAAATTCAAACGAACTAAAAACAAAAAATTACTTTACTCTGAATTGCCGCTATTTTAAAGTGAAAGTAAAATGGGCACACCGCTTTTACAAGCTATTTAAAAGCGAAGGAAAGCGAGGAAAAGAGGGAATGCCCTGCCCCCGCGGTGATACCGGTATTACCGGTGTTGTCACACGTCGATTAACCGGTGGGAAAATTTCCTCACCGACACAACCCTAAAGCACACCCTTGTGAAAAAGAAGTGTTATCAGTATTATTATTTTAGGTGTAATAAAAAGTCTAAACACAATATAATTTATACAATACTATTTCTTAATGTAAACATATGAATTTAAATTATTATTATTATGCAAATGTAATGTCGTGAAGTACAGAGGAGGATGTTTGATGGAGGAAGGACTCACGTTGCTGGTTGCGTTTGTCACTGGCGTTCTTCAGCGGGAGGCAGACGGGACAGTCGTGCCTCGTGCAGTTCTTCCAGTGCGAGATGATCTGCCTCGATGAAGCACAGTGAGCCACTGCAGACAGAGACAGAAGAAAGCCTGAGCCAAAGTGCAAGTGTGTCCAACTGCTGCAAAACTGGGAGCAGAAAGTTCCTGTGGGAGAGCAGGTCTGCACAGCAGACACACATCTGCCGCAAGTGATTTCGCCAAACCCACAGCAAAGAATCACGTTTTTGTCCCGAGACTTTTTTTTTGTCCTCACAGGAAGTAAAAAGATACTACAAATGACATTAATCACAGGCAAACAGATTATAATTGATGTTTAATTACAGTTATCTGGAGAGAGATTTTAAAACAATGAAATTTCACTGTAGGAGGGATTAATGGGAAACTAGTTAAGGGGAAAATAAATAAATAAATAAATAAATGGGATGATAATTATAAATTCTAATAAATACTATAATAATTAATTATAGTATTTATTAAATAAAATTAATTTATTTAATATGGGATATTAATATTAATTAAATTATATTAAATAAATGATTTTAATTATTTATACAATTAATACTATTTTTTGAAAATGATTTAAAACTGAATATCCATAACCAATTCACACAAGATATATGCATTATAATATCATTATTATGATATTTTCTGTCATAGAGGCAAAGCAGCGTGTCAGAAATAGGTATTTCCCATTGTTTAGAGCAATTGTGTAGCTATTACAATAGGAGTGATCAAGTTGTATCCCACTGCTCGTTTCCAGTATCAACACTATTATGATTTATTGCTGCTGTGTCACACCTGGTTTGGTTGCCGGTTACAGAAGGAAGCGAGTTCTGCCAGGAGAGCCTTCAGGAGGCACCAAACACTGTCTGCAAACACACAATGCTTTAAGAGTCATCTCTAGCCTTCATGCCCTTCCTCAGGAGTCCAAGCGGAGAGATACGGGTGTCACAGCGGCCAGAGAAGAACAGGAAATGAGCTGGCACCGTGGACGGCGCGCTTGGCACCAGGCTTGTGTTTGAGTTGAAATTAAGCCCTGTGCTCCGGCTCCAACAACAGCTAAAGCTCTGAGAGCAAAGCAGCCGGGCGGCATCAGGCCGCCGCAAGCCCTCTCCTGCCGTTTGCCAAGCCCTTAATATTGCATTATACCATAAAGAGCACGGTTTTCTCTCTGAACAGACTGTTATACTTTAGATGGAGCAGAGCGTTTGCTCGGGAAATTCCCAGTGTGAGTGAATGAAATATTACTGGTTGTGAACCCAAAGATGTTCGGCCATAATTTCACTCTATGGAAGTGCACTGATGAAATATAACAGGGTTTGAGAATAATGACTGCCCGATGGCCCGGGGCCAGTGTGAAAGACACTCGGGCCACTGCTGCATTGTCATAAAAATTTATTATTTGCATGTGTTTTTAAGCCTTGCTAATTTAAAAATTCAAGCGATTTTATTTATTATTATTAAACTTTATTTGAAAAGGGACCATGTACAATTTTAACACAAATGTTTCCATTTCATGCATTGTACCGAATTTAGCCAATGGCTAGTTTTCATCCGCGGTCCCTTGGCAGGTAATCATAATCACAGATAGACATAAGAACAAAATAACAAACACATACAATACAGTAATACTTATACACATCCCATCAGAGCCAAAAAAACCCCAATAAAAATAACGTTCAGTTAAGCCACAACTATATCAGTGTTTACAGATTTGAGTTGCTTTTAAATAAAATTTTTATTTTAATTTAAACATGTCAATAGATGTGCACATCCTTATGTCTTCTGGTAGAGTGTTCCAGTGAATAATAGCTTTCACTGAGAAAGATGATAACCCAAAGGCAGAATGACGAAAAGGAACAACACAATCACTAG